CTCCCTTCCTCCCAGGCAAAATGCTGCCTACTGGTTCACAATAAAGCCATCTTGAGACCGGCAAGCTGTTCCAGTGTAATCGTTAGTTTAAAACAGCCCTCCGTCCGGCACGGCGCACTAGGCGCGCGAGTTGCGTTACTCCTCGCGCAGAAGGCCGTGCCACAGGTCAGACTACCTTGCGGCTGTCACTTGTGGCGGCTGAAAACATGGCTGTCCTGGATGGTTGGATGGGCCGTAGCCCGGCTCTGAACGGATGGACGGGATGGGCCACCTTTGTCATGCAGCTCAACGCCGTAACATCATGACGCGTGTCACGGTGGCGGTGCCCCTCCCCATCTCTGCCCCCCCCTCTCTCCCTCTCTCTCTTTCTGCCTCTCTCTCTCCCTCTCCCACTCACTCACAGGGGTTGCTGCGGGCGGGGCAATGGGTCGACGGAGGTCCAGCATTAATAAACACGACAGCAATAATCCTAGAGGTCGAATGGATGGGATACTTTGTAGCTTATGCTAATTCCGAATGTGTGGGAGGAGGGAGGGGAGGTGGTCGCGGTGGAGGTGGAGAGCCGCCCCGCCCCGTACCCGTCTCTTGCGTCGGATGACGCGACGCAGTTCGGGGCCGTGCGGAAGGAACCAGGACTGAGTGTTCGAGGGGACCCCTTCTCCTACAGAGAGGAGGCTCCACCGCGAGTTCGTCCTCGACGGACGCGGCTGTGCAGGCCCACTCCGAGCCTTGAGGGCCGCGCTGGACCGCCGAGTCATCGGCTGATTGGATGCGTAATAACTCAATGCGAATACGTCGACACGCATACGCGCACACTAGCACACACGCACACGAACACACACACACACACACACTAACACAACAGGCCGAGCACAGTCACAGACGCACGTAGTAATACACACGCACGCACACTCCACACACAACCCGTTGCAGAGATCAGAGATGGAAGCCCCCGATGGGCAGGCTCCTCGCCTATGTGCCGCTCGGTGTAACCCGAGTGTGCCCCCAGCGCGACCCGTCCAAAGCCCACTTAACCTCAGCTCACCGCGCCCCTCGAGCTCCTCACGCACCTGCCGGCTCGGCGCGGCCTTCGCGTAGGCCAAGGTTACGCGGGAGAAGCGGAGAAGCCGCTCGCCGTTGCAGCGGCGAGTTTGTATCGACGGCTTGTCTCTTGCATAAACACCTGGATGGGCCGATGTACATTAAACAAAACAACGATGCCAAAGACTTGCCCGACAGCGGAGCAGGGTTCGGCCGGAAGGTGGGGCGGCACTCCGGCACTCCGCGCGGGGCGGGGCGGGGTATGGGGCCCAGCGTGTGGTGGGGCGCGGCTAGGCGTCGCTGCTGAACAAGGAGAACACGAGCAAAACGACCGACGAAACCTGCGGCGGGGGCGCCCCGCCATCCCCGCCATGCAGTCCGTCGCCCGACCGTTCACGGACTTCCAGTTGACGTCCAGTCGCCGCCACCGTCATCTCGCCTCTCCTCCAGCAGCCGCTCCATAGCAGTAGCTTCTCCAGCAGGAGCTTCTGTAGCATCAGCTTCTTCAGCAGCAACTTCTCCAGCAGTAGCTTCTCCAGCAGGAGCTTCTGTAGCATCAGCTTCTCCAGCATCAGCTTCTCCAGCAACAACTTCTCCAGCTTCAGCTTTTCCAGTTTCAGCTTATCCAGCAGCAGCTTATCAACTTTCAACTCATCCAGCAGCTTATATCCAGCTTCAGCTTCTCCGGCAGCAGCTTCTCCAGCCAGCACAGCGTGCTTCAGCAACATGCTCGTCCTGGTGCGTACCTTCACATACCCTCCTCACTCGCTGCAGCCTTGGCTCCAGCACAGGCTCGCGGCCTGCGCGCGCCACAAAGTTCAAGAAGAGTGATTAGGCGAGTCTCTTGTGCGCCTGTGCGCTATCGCCGGACTCGCGAATAAGCTCCGTGATGCATCGACGGGGCTCGCGAACCCGAGACGTGGCCGCCAAGCGCGACTGCGCGCTGTGCAGGCGGGTCAGGGGGAGATAGCGGGGGCGGGGGAGGCGTGCGCCGCGCGTTGCCTACGCTCGGTACGTAGGGCGCCAGCCACCCCAGCCGCTCCCAGCGGCTAGCTCCCCTCCACTTCCCACTGCAGTGCGTCGCACCGGTAGCGGTAGCATTCCGGCTGGTGGCCCGCTCCTTAGATGATTGTCCCCTCCTCCTTTTCTCATCGTCGGCGGGTTCGACTACCGCGGGCGGCGCTGATGTTATCCGCTTGGTAATAAACACCTGCTCCCCGCTCTCTTTGCAGCAGACCGCCGCCGTCCTGCTCGCGCTGGTGCTCGCGGCCGAGGCCGTGCCCGTGCCCGCCTCGCCGGCGGCGTCCGGGAAGAACGGCGGCGTCCGGCGGGCCGACCGCGACGTCACCGTGTCCAAGTACAGCAACAAGCCCAACTCGGGCAGCGGCGAATACAGCTACGGGTGAGTCCGGGGAGCGCGCAGGACTGGACGACCTCCTGCGCGCCGTCCTCCACAAAACTGTCGTTATTTATTCGTCGTCCCGACTGTCGCGCCTCTCCACCCGTTCCTTGCCTGACCCCCCTCCTCCTCTCCCCGCCTGGGCGCAGGTTCGAGCTGAGCGACGGCTCCAGCCGCTACGAGGAGGGCCGCCTGCAGAACGCGGGCGTGCCCGGCAAGGAGTTCCTGGTGGTGCGCGGCAGCTTCAGTCGCCCGCGCTTCGACGGCACCATGGAGCAGGTCATGTACTACGCGGACGAGGGCGGCTTCCACGTCGCCAAGATGGTGCCGACGCTCGGGCAGGCGCCGGCCTCGGCACTCGTCGCCTCGCTCGTCGGCTGACCGCCATCTAGTCTTAGAATTAGTGTTTCACTGTTATTTAAATACGGAGAGAAAATAAAGAAAACGAGGAGTTACAAACGTGTTATTCTTTGGGCAAGGCGCCGGGGCCGCACCGCCGACTCGAGGACGGTTACACCTGCAGTCATAATGGCCACCTGTTAGCAATGACCCTAGCGCTAGCGCAGCGCTGGGACCGGCCCGGCCGCCCTGCAGAGAGTCGTCGACCTGCTCCTCTGCGCAGGCAAACCGAGGGGCATCCCCGCTATCCACGCCATCCACCCGCGCGTCTAGCGTCTAGCGCCCGCAGGCCTACCGGGCGCGGCATGGGGTCCGGCTGACAGGGGGGCGGTGCACCGCTGGTTGCCTACTTGCAGGGGTTTGTGGCACAAATTGCCTACCTTTCAGGCGGCTCACTAGAGACGAAGGTGAGGGCGATCACCCCCCTCCCCTCTTATACTGCGCCTGAGGCCTACCGCTGCTTACCCATATGCAGGGTGGTCCACAGTCCCCTTCCTTTATTTATAGGCGTGCGGACGGGTTGCATACTCGCACGGGGCCGTAAGGCGCCGTGGTGAGCGACGGTTTAGGCAAGTCCGCCCGCACGCCTGCATGCGGTACAGTATAAAGAAAAATAAAGGTAGGGCCTGTGAACCACCCTATACAGGTGACACCTCGGCTCAGGAAATAACTCTCCGTGCCGCCCGCACCCGGCCCGAACCTGCTTGTCTCTCGAGAAGACATGTGGGCGTGTGAGACGAATATCGACGACTTCACACTCTGCGCGCTGCACGCGCGTCGCCACCTGCCCCTCAGCGTCCGCTTCAGAAGGCGAGCGCTTCAGCCTGCGAAGGTCGGCATAGGCAACCCCGCCACCGGCGCGCACCTGTGTGCGGCGGCCGGCCTACCTGAGAGCCGGCGGGCGCTCCGCTCGATCCCTCCCGCTCCTCTCAGTAGCGGAGGGGAGGAGGAGCCTTGTTTAGCAACCGAAATGAGCGAAGACATCCCACGAGTCGCGACATTTAACTCTGCCATCCCATCGCCGCCTGACCCGCCGCGGGAGCCGCAGCCAGCAGCGCGGAGCAGCGGCGGTCCCCGGACAAGTAAACTTTAACGCACCCCCGCTGTGCTGGTTTGGGTGAGCAGCGGCGGCGATCGTAGGCGGGC